AAATCTTGGATCATTCAGATTTATTTCTGATTTTGCTATAAGATAAAGCTTAAAAAGTGACAATTTGGTATTACCTAGTTTTTACAGTAAAGTAATTTTTACAAGTTATTTCTCTGTTTAAAAACTCTTCTACAGCTTCACTGAATAGAATAGTACAAGTTCAGAATCTTGTACTTGGAAAACGAATCACAAAAGGATGCATTGGATTATGTATGTGCTTCCATTCATTAAGAGAAAGCCATTACCTTTAGGATCCCCAATGAATATCTTATACAATTTCCTTCAGTATTCAGAAATAGAATTTTAAGAATTTGGAGGGAGCTATCTCAGAAAGAGAAAGTAAGAATTATTATTCATGGAAAGTTGTTTGATTCAACAAGCATTTCTACTTCATTTATTGTCACCCTTTTTTTAAATGGACAGTTATTAATCCAGATATTTCCCAATGCTTCAAAAGGCTTATAGAGTTCATGTATGAATCAGCTCCAAAAATTTGGAAGACTATTCTATGTCAGCAAGTTGTTGTTCAAGACACTGGATTGTATGTTTGGACTGATATTTCACTAAGAGGTATACATCTAATAAATACAAAAAGATCAGAAAAAAAATCAGAGAAACAAAATTGATTGTTTGAGCATATCTTCATAAAAGAAGACATTCCAGAAGTCAGAATATCTCATTCTTTTTAAAGTTGATGTATGCAAACAAAGGGATGAATATACATTGATAAACTGTGCGGTACTGCAACTATATCGTAAATGATTATTATTTCTGCAGAACTGTATACAAATAATTTACTAAAAATCTTCAGTAATAGAATCAAAGGCAAACTGTTTTACTTTTTTGGCTAATGGTTTTCCCCATACTATAAAAGCAGTAATCTCTAAGTTTTAGTACTGGGACAGTTGTGTTGAAAAAAAAAATCTATATAATATATTATCAGGACAAACTTCAAGCCATATGTTTCCAAGACAAAAAGTACAAGTCCAAAAATTACTAAAACAATGAAAACAATGCTAAAATGAAAATGATTTTTTACTACACGGAAAAGAAATAACTTTTCTGGAAGAAAATTATTTCATTTGCTTTCGAAGAGAATCTATGAAAGTATTGAGGAGGGAATCATCAAATCTGAATACAGTACATGAATGTTCATCAACTGGCAAGCAGAAAGTGATGAACTGGTTGAACTGGTTGTATTTTCACTGGGCTATTCAAAAATCTAGATTCAAATGGAAAGTCCTTAAAAAAAAATCCAGCAGTCATAGAACCGTTGTCCTAATACATTTCACACCATGTTAGACAACGTGGTTGAGCTCTTTACTGAAGGCTTCCATCACAAACCAAACTGAAAAGGAAAAAGTAGGAAACAGAAGCCAATTTCTTTCCTGATCGACTTTGTGCCGACTCTGAAAGGAGGGAGCAAAAACCCGCTGCTGAGTCCATCTTCTGTAGCCTCACCAGGCCTGCGTTCAGGAACAAAACTCCGATGTGCATGACTCAAGAACATGACGATGCTCGTTGGCGGTAATGCAACATCTTCAGCAAATCTTTGAGCAAGAGGTTCTTCGGTCATCGCCGTAGACCTTCCACAAGTTATCTGCACTCTCTTACTTGTTTCATTATTTTGCTATCAGCCAAGGAGTTTGACCCTTTAAGGGACAGATGTAATTATTTTACAGAGAAAGGTCTCATCAGGGTAATAAAAATGCTGCTTCTATTTGCATAAACACTAGGTAAAAATCTCCCTTGGAAATTGGAATTACTTATCTTGTGCTGCAGTGTTGTGTATTACAGTGAGGTCTACATTTGCCTTTTCTAGCTGCAAGTTCAGTATTTGGCTTATATTGCTAGCGCCCACTTCTAGTTGCCATTTTCATCTGTAAAAGGTAAAGGTAAAGATTCCCCTTGCACATATGTGCTAGTCATTTACAGCTCTAGGGGGTGGTGCTGATCTCCATTACAAAGCCAAAGAGCCAGCGCTGTCCGAAGATGTCTCCATGCTAATGTGGCCAGCAGGACTAAATGCTGAAGGCACATGGAACGCTCTTCCCTTCCCACCAAAGTGTCCCTATTTTTCTACTTGCATTTTTACATGCTTTCGAACTGCTAGGTTGGCAGAAGCTGGGACAAGTAATGGGAGCTCACTCCATTATGCAGTGCTAGGGATTCGAACTGCTGAATTGCCAATCTTTCTGCTTGACAAGCTCAGCATCTTAGCCATTGAGCCACCGCGTCCCCTCTATATCTGTACCATACTTTAAAAAAATAACTGTCATTTGCAACCGTATATTTTCAGTTTTCCTACAGTTCATCGCTCAGATCAGTAACTGGCACCATAAGTACATGGCATATTGTGTCAAATGAATCTAAGACACGAGTGGCAAAGGCCTCTTGGAGTTGCACAGTAAGGTGCAGCACAGGTAGTCCTTGACTTACAACCACAATCGAGCCCAAAATTTCCTTGCTAAGTGAGGCCATAGTTGTGCCTCATTTTATGATCTTTTTGCCATAGTTGTTAAGCAAATCACCACCACAGTTGTTAAGGGAATCATGCAGTCATTAAACGAATCTGGCTTCCCCCCATTGATTTGTTGGAAGATCACAGATGGTGATCACATGACCCCAGGACACTGCAACCATCATGAATACATGTGAGTTGCCATGAGCCTGAAGTTTGATCATGTGACCATGGGGATGCTGAAACCGTCCTGAGTGAGAAAACCAGTTATACATCACTTTTTTCCAGTGCTTTTGTAACTTTGATGACTAAATGAATGGTTGTATCTCAAGGACTGCCTGTGGACTTACTTATGGGTTTATTTATTTATGTATGGACTTATTTAAATCTCACTGCACACTATTGTAGTTAGTGATGGCAGCCAGAATTTGCTGGTTGGATTATAGAAATATAATATAGAAAACCTCAATGCAACCAACTCTGTTAGTTTTGCAAAATTCAATATAAAGAAGTGCGATAGTAAGTTGGAGGGAAGGAATATATTATGCCCAAGACTAGAAAAAAGCAACAAGACAAACATCTAGCATTTGTTACCCAAGTCTAGTCTAACAGAATATAAACCAGTGTTTCTCAAACTCTGGGGGTTTCCCAAGAGCCTCTCAGGGGCATGCAAAATCCATATTATTTGCCAGCCTTTGTTGAGAAATACTATGTTAAAATCCCATCAAACAATTATAAGAAGTGATAGTGGCAGCAAGTGCACCAATTGTAATTTTTAATGTAATAAACATTGATATAAATTGTATCCTTACGATTTATATGGACTGTTTCCTAGTATGATTTGATTGCTTATTGTACCCTATGACTATCATTAAGTGCTGTATCTTATGATTCTTGCCCCTTGACGAATGTATCTTTTCTTTTATATATACTGAGAGTATTTGCATCAAGACAAATTCCTTATGTGTCCAACCACACTTGACCAATAAAGAATTCTATTCTATTCTATTCTATTCTATTCTATTCTATTCTATTCTATTCTATTCTATTCTATTC